ATTTCTTTTTAGTCTCCCTTGCTTATTCTTCCTCATCTCATGGACTCCTGAATGTTGACATTCAGAATCCGTTCTTTCACTGTCTTCTCTGCTCTTTGGGCTTATACCCCTGGTGATCTCATGCAGGGTTTCTATTCCCACCTACGTAGACGGTGTCTCCATTTTGATGTTCACTTTTCAACGAAAATTTAATATGTTCAAAATTGAACTCCCTTCCTGCCCACTCTGAAGCTGCTTCTTCTAGTCTTCCTCATCCTGTTAGAGGATGTTTATTATTCATGTTACTCTGGCTAAGGCTTGGGAGTTATCCTTCATGCCTCTCTTTTTATCTTCTTGCCCCCATGTTTAGAGAATAAACAAATATTGTGGGCTACACTTTTAAAGATATTATACAGAATATGACCATTTTCAATATTCTCATTGTCAACACCTGTGTTTGATTATTAGACCTGTCATAACAAAGTGTCACAAACTGGATGGTTGAAAACAAGTACTTCTCACTGTTCTGGAAGCTAGAAGTCTGAGGTCAAGGTGTTGGGAGGTCTTTGCTTACTCGGAAAGATCTAGGTGAGAATCTTTCCTTGCCTCTTTTAGCATTTGGTGGTTGCTGGTAATCCTTGGTGTTTCTTAGCTGGTAAAAGCACCCATCTCATCTCTGCCTTGATACTCACGTGGCCTTCTCCCTGTGTGCATGTCTCTGTTTCTTCTCTTCCTCTTATGAAGACACCAGCCATTAGATTTAGGGGCCTACCCTACTCCAGTATGACTTCACTTAAGTTACATCTTAACTATATCTGCAAAGACCTTATTTCCAAATAAGGTCACCTTTACAGGTACCAGGAGTTGGGACTTTAGCAAATATTTTGGGGAAATATAGAAGTAGTAATAATGATCCAGTGATAACTATCTTTTCCTGGTTGCAAAGTTTATTAGATTTAAATAGTTTTCTTTATTCCTGCTTTGTTGAAAGTGTTTACCATAAGTAAATATTGAATTGTACTTTTCCCCTCCTGGATCTACTGAAGTGATCATGTGATATTATCCTTGAATATTTTATTCAACACAGAACACACAATTCAGCCACCCTACTCAAAGCTACCATGATTCCTTGCCTGGATTATGGCTACAAACCCCTGTTAATCTCCTGCTTTCACCTGTTCTCCTATGTAGACTAAACAGTACAGAATTCACAGTGATTCTTTTACAAGTAAGTCAGATCACATCACTTCTCTGCTCAGAACTTTCTAGGGTTTCTTTTCTCACTCAGACTAAAAGCAATTCCCTCCCACTGCTCAGCAAGGTCTTGTAGTCTCAGTGCCCTCCCCTCCCTACCTCTCTAGCTTCATTTTCTACTTTCTCCATGGATCACTGTGGTCCAGGCACCCTGGGACCACTGTCGAGGACCACTGTCCTCGACAAACACACTGAAGGGGTTTTGCTCTCTCTTTCCTCTCTCTCAAATACTCTTCCCCATAACTCTTACTGTATTAGTCTGTCTTCACACTGCTGATGAAGACATACCCAAGACTGGGCAATTTACAAAAGACAGGGGTTTAATTAGACTTATAGTTCCACATGGCTGGGGAAGCCTCACAATCATGGCAGAAGGCAAGGAGGAGCAAATTATGTCTTACATGGATGGCAGGAGGCAAAGAGAGAGAGAGCTTGTGCAGAGGAACTCCTCTTTTTAAAACAATCAGATCTCATGAGACTTATTCACTATCACAAGAACAGCATGGGAAAGACTACCCCCTTGATTCAATTATCTCTCATTCAATTATCTACCACAACACATGGGAATTCAGGATGAGATTTGGGTGGGGACACAGCCAAACCAAATCATTTACATTACCTTCTCCATGCCCTTCTTCAGTGAGGCCTTCCCTGACTGACAGGCTGTATGGTAGTGCTGAGGTTGACGGACTTACAACTAAAGGACCTGGGTTCAGATCTTGCCTTGCCATTTACAGCAAAGGGTTAGGCAATTTACATAACCTCTCAGTTTATGAAATAAGTCCATGAAATAACTGAGTTTATGAAATAACCCTCATCTATGAAATAAGGAAATTAATCGTGGCTTGATCTTTTGGAGTTTCTGGAAAATTGAAATAAATTAACACCTGGAAGGGTCTCTCACACGATATAAATACTTAATAAATATTTGTGATTGTTATTAAAGTATGCACCACATCTTCCTCCAGTAATGCCTTATGTCTGCTACTTTACTGGACTCCATAGTATTTGTCCTCATCTAGCAAACCATATGTTCTGCTTGTTTATTTTTTGCCCCCTTCCCACTAAATAATTACCAGGAATATTGCCTTATAAATATTAGACATTTAATAAATATTATTTGAAAAAATGTTAAAATGTCTAGACTCTTTAGTATAATGTAGAAGTGGTAATAACAATCCAGGGATAATTATCTTGTTCTGGTTTCTTGCCAAGTTTACAAGATTTTTAAAGTTTTCTTTATTCTCAATTTGCTAAAAGTGTTTACCATAAATATTGAATTGTACTTTCTTTCTAGGATTTACTGAGGTGATCATATGATATTCTCCTTTAATATTTTATAATCACTTACATCTGTTATTAATATAGATATAAATTTGCAAATATGGATCAAATCCAACTTGGTTATTATGCATGCTCTTTTTAAATATACTGCTGAGTTCAGTTTGCTAGTGTTTTATGACGTTTGCATCTATATTCATGAGTAAGATTGGCTTGTAATTTTTACTTGTAATTCTGCTCTCAGAATGTTTTGGTATCAAGATTATAGAGGAAAATATCAGTTGAACTTGAGAGTATTCTCTCTTTCTTGTTCTCTAAAATAATTTACATAATATAGAAATAGTCTGCCCCTTGAATATTTGAGAAAATTTTCCCATCTGGGCCTGACCATTTTTTTGTGTGTTTAAATTGTAAACTACTTCAACATCTCTAATGGATTCATTTTTGTCTCTTTTATACTGATCAGTTTTTGTCAATTTACATTTAGGAATTTATCTCTAATCTAACTTGTTAAAGTTTATTGACAAAACATTCTTAGTGTTTTTTTTTTCATTTTTCTCTTTGGCATCTATACATTTGTCCCCATATTCAGTTCTAATATTGTTTATGCTGGCTTGCTGTATTTTTGTTTGAAAATATTGATAATGAAATATTTCACAAGAAACCTTGAGGTTTATATGTGATAAAATAAAAATACTTTACTTTTATGATAAAAGTACCTTATTATATTTATCTCTATATTTATATGTATTTATCTCTATATAAATTTTTTGGCCTTATTGACCTTTTTAATTGCCTGTCTTTTCCTGTTTCTGAATTTCTGCTCTTATGTTTCATTGCTTTCTTCTATTCCTTTGGCCTAGGGGTTTTTTTTGTTTATTTTGTTTTTATCTTGCTTTTGTTTTGTCTTGTTTTTGTATTTTTCTTGCTGTTGGTGCTTAGCTCATAACTTTCAGTCATTTTTCTCATATAATATAAGCATGTACGTTTATAAACTCTATGTATGCACTGATTTTCCTACACTCCAGGGTTTCTTGTGAAGTATTTTGTCATCTAGTTGTAAACATTTTCTGATTTCCGTATGCTTTCTGTTTAAGCCATAAATTATTTAGAAGTGATTTCTTTCCACTTTAATTTCCAAGTGCATATTTTCCTTACTTTTTAATCACTGATTTCTTTTACTAAAGATGCCATAGAGGAACTGTAATTGTTATAAAGCCAAATATTTAAAATGTGCTGAATCTTACTTTATAACTTAGCATGTGGTCAGTCTTCACAGGGTCTGTGCATTAGTTGCTGTATTAATGTTAGTGTCTTGACTTTTGCCCTTGTGCTGTAAGATGTTAACACTGGGAATATAAGTGAAGAATATAAGGGTTTCATTGCACTTTTCTTTCCCATATTTTTAAAAGTCTGAAATTATTTCAAAACAAAAAGTCAAAAAGTTTTAAAAACATGTAAAGTGATTAGCTCAATGCTAAAGAATTTCCTCCCTTCTCTCATATCTATAATCCCACCTGTTGTCTTCCTTTCATCACCATCATCAAACCTCAAATGGTGAGGATTATGAATTCTACATTGCACCTTTGATATGGTTTAGCTGTATCCTCACCCGAATCTCATCTTGAATTGTAGCTCCCATAATTCCCATGTGTTGTGGGAGGGACTGGGTGGGAGATAATTGAATCATGGTGGCAGTTTCCCCAATACTGTCCTTGTGTTAGTGAATAAGTGTCATGAGATCTGATGGTTTTATAAGGGGTTTCCTCCTCCACTTGGCTCTGATTCACTCTTTGCCTGCCACCATGTAAGATGTGCCTTTTGCCTTCCACCATAATTGTGAGGCCTCCCCAGCTATGTGGATCTGTGAATCCATTAAACCGTTTTTCTTTATAAATTACCCAATCTTGAGTATGTCTTTATCAGCAGTGTGAAAACAGACTAATACAACCTTCTAATTACAGCAGAGCGGGGGTTGGGCCCAATATGTGATAAGAGGTTGCTGCCAATGAGATTGCCCTCAGTGATGCCTTTTGTGATCCCTACAAGATGCTTGTCCTGGTTGAATTTTACCACCTCATAGTCAGTTCCTCAGGAGAAGAATGCTTGGCCTGGTATTAGCTTTTCTCAGTTATACATCTACGTAATATTATAAGTATATATATTAATACTCAATATTATACCAATAATATATACTTAATATTGTACTAAAAATCCCACAAAATATACTGTACTGTTGGATAAATTCAACTCTAAAGGTAATAATATAACTGATGTCTCCTTCTAAATAGTTTAAAATGAAGTAGTTAGACAGATGCAGATGTGAACAGATCCTTTTTCAGATATGGAAAATATTCACATTTCCAAACTATCGTATCCTAACACAAATTAATTTATCATGTTTCACCTGATTTTAAAAATAACATTTAATTATACAGTGAGAATGCAAAAGGTGGGTGTTGCTAGACAAACTCAGTCAATGAGGCAAAAGGCAATGAAGGTTTTTATTTGTTAATCCATATTAGCAGCAACACCAGAAAAATCATTAACCACCCCTCCTAGCATTGAAACTCTGACTCCACTTATCGCTTCTTCTTTTTAAATTACCATGTAAAACAAAATGAACTGCAAAATATATTTTATTTGAACTTACTGAAGTCGAAATCATAGGAACCAGATATCTAAACAAAGTTTAAACTTAAAGTTTAGATTTTAAACATAAAATGTAAATGGTTTTCTTTGTTTTGAAAAGTATATCCTTGAAAAGTATTTTGATATAGATGGGAACATTTTCATAGACTGGCATCTACTTTTCCACCTACTGTTTAATGAAGTAAACTGTTGAATGATGTAAACTGTTAAATGAAGTAAACAGTTAAAACTAATGACATAAAAGACAAGCAAAGCAAAGGAAACATGTTATAAAATATAAGTATTACAGCATTCTTAAGTATGGTACTTTATAAAATGAAAACCGGGATGATGTCTTCTGAGATATCAACATATTTATAAGGAGTACATGGTACGTGACATACTTCAGGATGCCAAGAATTTTAATTAAAACTCAACCTCTATAAAGTGAATATAAAACTAATAAGAGGAATATTTTTAAAGGTTGGGATGTGTAAACTATAATAGCAGCAGTTTGAAACAGAAGAGGAAGAAATAAAGAGAAATTACATTACATTAGTATAAATGTATTCAGTAACTTCTGTTGGAGATTATGTTGTTATATATGAACAATTATAGTTATTTTTCAATCAATGCTTTACATGCATAAATTGAAATTACCTGATATTAAATGTTTCTGAAATTCATTATAGGAAATACACATGAGCATAAACAGATGAGGATATTCTCTCTCTCCCGTGAAAAAATGTGTGGGTAATATATTACATCATAGATAGAAATCGCATACTTGAAATAACCATAAAATACTTAAATAGTACATGGATACTATTTTCAGCCAAGTTGTTTCATATTTAAATTTAAACTTTTAGTTATTTCATGTAACTACTGCAAGATTTCTAAAATTTTTATTTTTTACTTTTTGTAATGTTGACCAAAAAGGAGGGAGTGCATTTAACATAAAAATAGAAAATGAATCCTGAGATTTCTCATAAATGTCTTAATGTCCTAGAGATGTGGGCACTGGTTCCATAGTAAATTATGGATGCCACATTTTACAAAATCCTTACTGCCCCTTTGAATTGTGTCCTTCCTCCAAGATAAGAAGCTATGACTCAATTGTTCAGCATGGAATTATAGTGAAAAGCCTTTCTAGTTCTATCTTTCCCTAAATGGGCTCTGGTTTCTTGTAATTCACATGACACTCTTTGGCTGTGGCTGTCTGTTAAATTTCCTGTTTTGGACTAGTTTCAGCAAACCAAAACAAATAGCTCACAGAAAAGCCAACGGTAACTACTTTTTTTTTTTTTTGTGGTATATCCAGTTAGATTCTTTCTTCTTAGAGGTACAGAGAAAGGGAAGAAAATAGTTACAGACATGGTATAAGTAGGTCACAGCAGTTTCAATGCACCAAAAAATGTGACATCTCCATCCAGTGATATTTGTGCATTTTCTCGTGGTATTGCAAGTTGAAGTTCATCTCCTTCTTCCAGTTTTGCAATGCCTAGGAAAAAATGATTTACAAGAACTATAAGTGGTTATACAACAGAAAAGAAAAAAACCTAAATAAAACTATTTTGTTCTGTAAAAAAAAATGTTAACATAGGCATCCACACTTCAGAATATACCAGTTGGCTTCTAAACCATTGCAATTATCTTAGCCTAAAAAAATTTAGAAGAAATAAGCAAAAGGAGTTACAACAGATATGTATGAATTTATCACCTACTCTTTAAAAAATGGAGTTCCCCAAAAGAAGCCCAATATATAACTTTTTAAAAAATTAGGTAAATCATGGCACATCCCTTGATAGAATATTAAATGATTAGTGATGATTTTTATTTAATTTTGTTGACAAGGAAAGTTTTTATAATAATGTTAAATAAAAACATGAAAAATTACACACACATATATATACTAGATATTCCTAATTATATTTTAAACATACATATGAAAAGCATAAATATTAAAAAGTGAAGAAAACACCATTTCTTAAGATACCACATTTATTAATATAGTTTTTCTTGAGAGTTCAGACTATGGGTTTAAGCATTATCTGGATTATTTTTCACAACCTCTTATATTTTGTTTTATTATATAACCACATTTGTCTTCATAATCAAAAACAACAATGAAATTAACTCTTCAAAAATGACCAATAAATCTGTGTGCGACTAATTTACAAGGACAAATGCATCTGTGAATTGGTAATACAAAATACATTCAGGGACTACACTCAATGTATCAAAAGAAAAATGTGAAGGAGAAGAAAGAGGAGGAATAAGGGGAAGAAAAAGAAATGAAGAAATGAACAAACAATAAAACTGTCAGCTGAATTGTCAATAATTGTGGCTTACTATTTTTAGAAAAGTTGCATTGTTTCATTAGCATAGTGAAAATGTACCTACATAAACACATGTATGTTCACGTCTATTCTAACCTAAAGCCCAAAGCATGCAGATTTGCTCAGGCAGCAGCCAGGGGGAGTTTATTTATTGAACATTTACTATGTACCAGGTACCCTTCTGGAAAAACCTACAGTAGTGATCAAGGATGACAAAATTTCTGTCCCCCCTGGGTATGCTTTTTTGTAATGGGCAAAGACAGACTACAAACAAAATAAAGTTTTTTAGGACTTATTACAGGTTATGTGTACACTTTCTAGAATTGACAAAACATTTGTGGACTACCTTAAGCAGTAAGAATAAAATGATTGAGATGTATTTGTTGAGCAGACTTGTCATTATCATAGAGATTGGAAATGAGCTATCATTTTGACAAAGATCATAGCTCACAAAGCATTAAGTAATATTAACTCTAAAGATTAGGTGGGTGTGAACAACTATAGAGTCTATTTAACATTTTAACACTAAGTTATTGGCTATTTCAATTCTTCCAGATTACAGCAATCAGGTATAATTTTTCTAATAAACATTTTATTAACACAATAAGTAATAAGATTCAGCTTTATGTATGTAAGTGGTTCTTTGATATTATGTTGGGTTTCTTAAGTTGGCCATTCACATCTTTTCAGGTTACTATGGAAACATTTTATGTACTTACACTCTAATGTGTAGTTTTAAATGGCTTTAAATAAATTTGCCCTAAAACAGATTAAAATTGCAAGCCTGAAACTTCCTAGGGGACAGGACTCATATACAACAGTAAGCTACTAGTAATGAAAAATATTTTTAAAGTCAGGTGAATTATTCTTAAAGTAAGACACCTTAAGAAATCTAGCAGACTCCTCTAATAGCAAGAAAGTGTAAGAGGAACAGATGATTAGAAAAATGTTTTAAAGAGTTATTTATAAAATTGTTAGTATTAATGAATATAAATAAATAACAGATTGGAGTAGTCTCACCATTTATAAATATTTTGCAACTCCAAACTACTAGTCAGCACTGGGTGAAGGGAAATATCTCTTTATGAAAATTAGGGAATTTTAATTTTATAAACTTCCTCATCTCCCCACCAATGCTATCTGTGGCTGCAGATCCAGAATGACATCATTTTCATTATTAGAAACTATTTGCCTTAGTTTCTAACTGCCTTATTGGGCATTTGTTTGTAAATGCCTTTGAAATACAGTATTTCAAAATGCATAGCCAGTCTCCGTTCCTGCGTGTCACACAGTCATTCATAGTAAACATCTGGAACTGAAGCCATTCCTCAGGGTTCTGGATTTTTACAAAATCAACAGAGAAAATAAATGTCTTTAAGGTAAATATTTTTCTTTAAAACCAGCCTGGATTAATTTTAAATCACCCTTGAAAAATAAAATGAAGGAAATGTTAGCAATTACAGCTGAAACAGACCTGAGGTTTACAAGATCTGCCCTGCTCTCTGCCTCTCACTGCACCTGGGTGCAAAGGTAGGTTTGCTTCTACACTTTCACATTCCTAAGTCACCTGTCTGGTGTCCACTGACACAAGATGTCACCTGTGTGAGAAAGAAGCCATTGTACAACTTTCCCTTACCCTCAAACCCGGCCGGGGCATTTCTTCCACAGCATGCAAGAAGAGGTTTGGTTGCTCCCAGTGTGGAATCAGACTGGCTGGTTTAAACTGAGTCTAAAAATTAGTAGCTGTGTAACCTGGGACAAGTTACGTTACCTCTCTGTGTCTAGATCCTCACTCTCTTAAATGGGAAGATTAAATAAGCATGCATATATAAAATGCAGAAAAGAGTGCCTGGCCAGTGGTAATCACTCTATCATTGTCAGATATTATTATTGTTGTTATTAAGGGTTGAAGAAAATATATTTGAATTTTTCTCAGTGTAGAAGTTACTATGTAGAAGTACTATGTACAATGCAGAAGTTGCTATGAAGTTACTACCCTTTCTAAATGTATATAAAGATGGTAAAGTTATTAGTAATAATTCCATCTTTCTCAATTAAAACAGACTAGCTTATCATTCAAGATTTAAAAAACACAATATATTGAGGAATGCCTTTCTGTCTATTCATATTTTAGGGCACATCCTTTCATTTTCGCATTTTGCAGCTCAGATTTTTCATCAAACTCTCTTCATTTCACAGTTAGCAGGGTGTGAGAACTATTATTTACCAGCTGAATAGCAGGAATTATTGGGTAGTGTTTCAGGCATATTTTGAATACATCGAAACAAAGTCACCAGACTCAATTCATCCCCAAAGACATGGACTTTTTTCCTCTGAATTAGATGTCCCATGGCATAGGTCTTATCAGTGTATAAAACCTGAGAAACAAACCAAAAAACTTTGTCAGAAATGAACACAAAATGGGAGGCTTCAGACAGTAACATCAGAATTAGGGTTTGAACCTACCTGACCATATATAAAAAAGTAACCAGTTTCTTTGACCAATATTTTATTCTCTTTTTCTTCTAGGGCACTTCCCCTTTTAAAGCTGAGAAGCCATGGAACAAATGTGTAAGATCCTGCAATGAAGAGAATCATTTATAAGGAAAGAAACCAAGAAAGGCAGTTTTCACCTCCACCTCCATTTAGTTGTTAAGCTACCTCTGAAACTTAGAAGATAATTCCATCCTAAAAAAAAAAACAAAAAACAGAAGAAGAAGAAGAAGACAAGTCACATTACTGCATTGGATTCTTTGCCATCACTTATATATTAACCTGGGTTAATATATCAGATACAAGAACCCAAGAGCTAACCCTTTATATGAATGTCTGGGTTTTCCCTTTATTGGTCTATATTTCGGCTATTTCATAATAAAGGCTGGTCTGGATAAGAGAGTTTGAAGCAAAAAGTGGACAAAATTTCTCTGAATAACACACTAGTAGAGATTTTTCCTTTGATTCTCAGAGAGGAAAGAGGATGTGAAGAGTTTGGCAAAAGGTTTCCGGAGGAAGAAATCTCTCCATTCCTTGGCCCAAATGTGGCAACAAAAGGGAGCCTATGGGAGAAAGAAGAAAGTGACTAAGACACAACCTTTACTAAGAACAGTCAAGGAACTTTGTAACAATGATCTATGATATTTGAGTTTCAATGGCTTCTGCTCAGTTCACTGATAATTCTCCTCTATTACCCATCAAAAATCACTTGGGGAGTGACAAGGAGGCTGCTGTGCTCAAGGGTGAGATGAAAGGGACAGAGGGAAGACAGTAGCCATCAGCGAATAGGCACATGGGGGACTACATTGCTGAGCCAGAATCTGTAAGTGCGTTCGGACATCAAAACCCATTAAGAGAGCAGAGACACTCCTTTCCTGTGAATTCATACTTTACATTCCCTGGATTTCTCATGGGTGTGTCATGTGACTATCTGAGTAAAGGGTGAGCCCTAAGGCTAGAGGTTGGGAAATTTGGGGAGTGTAAATTAAGTGATGTAAAATGAATAAAAAGAAGATTAGATGGACTGTAATATAAGGATAAAATAGTAAAACAGAGCTGTGGAAGTTAGTCTAGAATCATACTTTAAATGTCCCTGTATAATTGGTAATGGTGGACCATACCTGTGTCCAAATTTCATCCTGATCATAGCAAAAATGAAAACAAAATTGATAATAAAATTCAGAGTCCACAACAGACAATAGGCTAGAAGCCAAAGAAGATAACAATTTTTCTAGAATTGAGATTAAAGAGCATTTTTTTCCTGTGGGTTTTCATGAGGGGCACAGGATGATGTGGTAGTTAACAACGTGCTCACATTCCGTACATACAACTGCCAAGTGTACGTGCCTTCTTCACATAGTGTTTCCAAGGCAAACCAAGTATATTTAAACTTTTTCCAAATAAAATTTTTTTGATCTTATGTTTTAATTGACAGATAAAATTGTACATATTTGTCATGTCCAACATGATGTCTTGAAACATGTAGGCATTGTGCAATGACTGAGTCAAGCAAATTAAAATATATGTTACCTCGTATAGTTGGCATTTTTGTGGTGAGAACACAATATCTACTCATTTAGCATTTTTCAAGAATACATTTCATTAACTGTAGTCACCATGTTGTACAGGAGATCTCTTGGACGTATTCCTCCAGTCTAACTGGAATTTTGTAACCTTTGACCAACATCTTTTCACCCCCACCCCCACCACCCAGCCACTAGTCAACACCATTCTACCCTCTACTTCTTTGAAGCTGACTTTTTTTAGATTCCACATATACATCAGATCATGTAGTATTTGTCTTTCTGTGCTTATTTCACTTGTTCTAATGTCCTCCAAGTTCATCCATGTTACTGAAAACAACAAGGTTTCCTTCTTTTTATGCTGAATAGTATTCCACTGTGCATATATCGCACATTTTCCTCATCCGTTCATCTGCAGATGGATACTTAGGTTGATTTAGTATCTTGGCTATTGTGAATAATTCTGCAATAAACATTGAAGTACAGATATCTCATCTATGGTCACATCACTCTGAATGTACTGTATCTTGTCTGACCTCAGGAGCTAAGCAGGGTGGGGCATGGTTACTCCTTGGATGAGAGATATCTCTTTGACACACTGATTTCATTTTCTTTGGATATATACTTGGTAGTGGGATTGATGGATCGTATAGTATTTCACTTTTAATTTTTAAAGAAACTTTTATACTATTTTCCATAATGGCTATACTAATTTATATTCCCAGTCCAAATAAGATTCTTGAGGGAAGAATGTAAAATCAGAACCACATATTTCTGATTGTTTCTTTTTTTTTCTTTTTTTTTTTTTTTTTTTTGAGACTGAGTCTGGCTCTGTGGCCCAGGCTGGAGTGCAGTGGCCGGATCTCAGCTCACTGCAAGCTCCGCCTCCCGGGTTTACGCCATTCTCCTGCCTCAGCCTCCGGAGTAGCTGGGACCACAGGCGCCCGCCACCTCGCCCGGCAAGTTTTTTGTATTTTTTAGTAGAGACGGGGTTTCACCGTGTTAGCCAGGATGGTCTCGATCTCCTGACCTTGTGATCCGCCCGTCTCAGCCTCCCAAAGTGCTGGGATTACAGGCTTGAGCCACCGTGCCCGGCTATTTCTGATTGTTTCTAAGGAGTAAGAATCCTAGGTGACAACAAAACAAACTACATTGTAAATTCAAGTTGAAATAAATAACATTTCCTTAGTCAGACCTTTGAGTTCCTATTACCACAGACAGAGGGAGGAAAGATGTCAGGGAGAGTGGGGAGGAAGGATGGAGGATCTATGAGTGGATCAAGAAACTTCCCAGGTCTTCTTCAGCACATGCTCTTGTCGACCTGCGCTTCTTGCTCACTCCCAGGAGCCACGTCCATCACTGTTTCTCACCAAGGGTGAATGTGCCCTGATATGGGCAGGTCTCATCACCCTAATTGGCTTTTCCCAAAGAAGGGAACATTCTCCTTAAAAGAAAAGCCCTCTTGTATAGTAATAGTTAACACAAGATCACCTCAATGACAAATTACAAATGCAAAATCATCATCGCCTCTTTTATGATATAATTTCAGTGAAAAGATTATCATAAAATAGTTTTTAACTTTGTTTAAATGACATAATGTCTGCCAAGCACTTTTTGGAGTGCTGAAAAATGAGGAAGAGTTAATACAGTTACTGTCAATATTGTAAAACACAAACTGATGACTTCACCAAGGCAGTTGCTTTCATAGCTTAATGATATTCATTTGATGCTTGGAGTGAGAGAGATGTTAAAAAAATAATACACTTGATAGATACTAAATTTTCTGAGCTAAAGGGCCATTTGTGTTTGGTTCCGTCATTTTCCCAGGGCTTAACATCATGACTGACCCACTGTAGACATGCAGCAAATATTTATTAATTAATTCAAATTTAAACATAATATAATTCAAAATAGCAATGTACTGTAAAAATTAATCACAAGTATTCAATTGTTTTTTTAAAGCATTTTACTACCAAGTTACTGAAATTCTTGTAATGAAATGCCTTCCATCATAGAGCTAGTATATTCTCTTAAATTGAAGTAAAATACAAATTTCTAAAACCACTTGTTTACATCTGGCTAGAGATATTTGTTTACTAAAATTTTCATAATAATTTAGATTGATTTCTTAGATTTTTTTACATTCAACTAATATCTATATAATTAAAGACCCACTTCTAAGTAAATGTCACTGGTGTATTGTCAGCATAGAAAATAAAACAAGTACATAGTAGGTCTCTATTCTTAATGTCTCTTAATATTTTATTTAGGCATTTTATCATCTCTTCTGGCAATAATCTTATTAAAGTGATAGAGAACATGTTTACTTATTTTTATTTTTAGTTATTGTCTTTATTCCTCCCACATCCACACACACACATATGCACAACCACATACTTACCTGGGCTCTCTGCAAACAGGAGATAAAGACTAAGGTTAACCGCAGACAGCCTAGTGAAGGGTTGAAGAAATACCCCGGTTCAGAGGCTGTTTGTAAACACCAAGAGAGATTTTTATTTTTGTTTTTCGACTTCTAATGTTTAACAAAATCTCTGTCAGGATGAGGATTAGCAATAAAATAATCTCTATCAGGCCAAGAAAACAGATAATAGAAGAAAGACTCCTGTGTCCACACAGGACAAGGAATAGAATCTAGGCAAAAAAAAAAAAAAAAAAAAAAAAAAAGTACTTTGGAAAAATTACTAAACAAGAGAACAACTGCAGTCCACATCAATTAACAACAGAAAACCCTGAGGATGGGAGTAATTTTGAGTTCCAGATTTGCTACATTGTAACATCCAAACTGTCCAATTTTCAAGAAGAAACTTCAAAGCATACAAAGAAAGAAAATTATTAACTACTCAGTGGACCAAAAGAATAAAGTCATTATTACAAGATTAATACTCAATAGGGAATCACTTTTCTACCAGTGATCTAACACTTTTCTACCAGTAATAAACAAGTGGAATTTGAAATTAAAAATATAATGGCATTTAGATGATTACCTCAAAAAATGAAATACTTAGGAATAATCCAACAAAATATGTAAAAGATTTAAATAACTAAATAAATGGAGAGATACTCCATGTTCATAAATAGGAAGACTTAATATTGTCAAGGTGTCATCAGTTCTTCCTGTAGATTCAATGCAATGGTGGTTTTTTTTTTTGTTTGTTTTTGTTTTTGTTTTTTTTTTCTGAGTCTTGCTCTGTCACCCAGGCTGGAGACAGGGGCACGATCTTGGCTTACTGCACCTTCCGCCTCCTGGGTTCAAGTGATTCTCCTGCCTCAGCCTCCGGAGTAGCTGAGACTACAGGCATGCACCACCATGCCCGGCTGGCTAATTTTTGTATTTTTAGTAGAGAGGAGGTTTCACCACATTGGCCAGGCTGGTCTCAAACTCCTGACCTCATGATCCCGCCTTGGCCTCCCAAAGTGCTGGGATTACAGGCATGAGCCACTGTGTCTGAGCGACTCAATGCAATCTTAATCAAAATCAAAGCAAGTTGAATATCAACAAACTGAGTCTAAAGAATATATGGAGAAGCAAAAGATAGAAATGC